GAATGTGACTGTCGTGATGATACTCGCGCAGGACCCAGCGCCCGTCGGACGTCATCTTCAGCCTCATCCGGGAACTGGCGCCTGCCGACGGCACGAACCGTCGCGTGCGCTATGCCGAGGCTCTGTCGCGGTGCGTGTCGCGGGGGTTCACTCCGGCGCAGGTTCACACTGCGCTCGACGAGTACGAGGAGCTGAACGTGTGGCACGTGAACCAAGCGCGCACCGCCATCACCTTCATGTGAACCCGCCCGTCCGCTTCAACGTTGACACACGTACACACACAAACATACACTCTTATGATCGCATATAAATATGCGTGTAGTTGCCCGTGACAAAAATTGCGTGTTCATATTGGCAATCGCACAATGTCTGTTTTAGCGTATTTACAAAAAACATTAAAACCTTGTTGCCACGATGTAGTCTACCTAAACAAATGGAAAAAAGAGGTAACTTGTCAACTATAAATTATGGAGGAGGTAAATCGTTAAAGCCCCTATTGAATACCACTTGCCATTTTATATCCACGTTCAAGAATCGCACCCAGGTTTTCAAGATCGTAGTGCAGTGCTTAAACCACTGCAACACCAATCCCAAACACTCTTTTAACAATTATGTAAACAAAAGTTTGATTCCAGGTCCCCAACTTTATTCATGATAGTTTTCAAATTGATTATGCTTAAGGAACTGGTTATCAATCTGATGCAATCTTCCGAGCAAAAAGAACGATTATCACGGTTGTACGTAGGTTGAACTTCTTTCGCACCGTATGTAGCCAACCTTGCTAATCAGAGGTGCGTGGGGGTGGGGAACAACAAACGAAACACAACAATCGCTTCTAAAGAAATGGGTTTTAAATCTAGATTCACAAGTGCATAGCTCCAGTGACTTCCTAATATCAGTTGGCTACCTACGATGCGAAAGAAGTTCAACATACATACAAGTACAGACTAAAATCCTATTCTGTAGTGTTATTAATCCTGCCTTGCTTCATCATGAAACATGGTTTGTAAGGTAATGTGTGTAGGCTAAAATGTGTACTTCACTTGTCAGTGTTGTACACGTTTGCTTTTCACTATCGGTTAGTTTTTCTACCCCAGTACGTGTGAATAAAAATTGTTCGTGATTCGCACCTACATGTTGTTAATCGTTGCGATCATCATCAGCCGTGATCAATCCACTACTCAATGTCGGCCACCCCAAGCCATCGCTATCTCTCAGGTTCCTGCGATTGAAACAGTCCATCTGGCACCTTGTACATGAGCTAATTTCATCGCTCCACTATCTCTGCGTTGGACGTCCTTTTCCGGTGCGTTCCCTCCTCTGGCTGCCACTCCATCATTAGTCTTTGCCACCGGCCATCAATCCCTTACAGCTGTGTCCCCTGCCCAAGCCCCCTTGCGTTTCTTAAGTTAAAGTGAACATCCACGCTCTCTTCTCTCTGTAATTCACAGCGTACATTTCTCCACGCTGCTTTATATAGCTTTCATTTTTCAATTGTATTCATGAATGTCCTTTTTTAATGTACCACAATTAATACAACTTTGAACGCGCAGCATTCTGGTTACCATATTTCACTGCTCTCAAGATAGGCTATGTGCCCTCTGTTTGGTTGTGTTCTTTTTGCTAGAAAGCTATGTTGATGACTGGTGTGGTTTATTCAGTCTGGTTTAAAATGTGTTACAAGGTTCACTTGTGATAATAGTTTGTGATGCATGGCTTGTAAGGGGCCATCCATTTAGTACGTACGCATGGAGGGTGAGGGGGGGTTAACCCAAATGCGTATGCTTTGCGTATGGGGGGGTCTACTGACAATGTACCTACGCATAGGAAACGGGGGGAAGGGGGGGTTGAAGTCTCGATAATTTGTCTACATTGGCCTTCAAATTAGTCCACCGCCAGACTATCTGTTTGCTTAAACACGTTATTAATCCTTGATCGTTTCTGCGTGGATTAAATATCGGTCTGTATAGGATTCAGGGGGGGGGTGCGTCAAGCTTACATACGCAGGTGGAGGGAGGTGTGTAAAGAGTACGCGTGCGTACAGGGAGGTGGGGGGTTAAGTTTTTACAGATTTTTGCGTACATAATAAATGGATGGCCCCTAATGCAGTTACCTGGTCCAGTTTAGTATTGCAGCAGATGTAATCCTCTGAATGTTACGTTTCCTGTTTGAATAAAGTGCTCTTTCAATTGTTACTTGTCATGTAATTATTTTTTTTACCAAATGCAACTTTAAAAGACGATTTTAATTTGGCATGTCAAATTGCGACTGCATCTCTTATGTTTTGTGACTCCTTTTCAGGAGGGTCCTGCCAAGTTTTTTTTACCAGGGGATCATGATTGCTATGTAGAAGTACCGCTGAGTAATTCGCTGGTAGTTTTTTTTGTTTCAAATTTGACGTTCGGACCATAACACGCATTGCCCTACTTTGCAAATGATGTCACGGGATCACTCACGAGCGCTGTGACAACGCGTGGGTTTTTGTATGGTTATTTGCCCGTAGTAATGATTCAACCTGCAACAAGGGGAACATGCGCTATCATACGGACCCTGATGCGCAGAACTTGCATTGAGTTAATTTCGTTCCTAGATTCTCCCTCGCTGCAGGAGGATCAAAGGATCAAATATATTTTCTATACTATTTAAGGAGATTGAAACGAATGCAATACCATTCTGAAATAAAATTTCAACAATACAGTTCGCGCCCCGGTAGTTTAAGGTTGCATGGGGTGGGTATATACAGCTGCTGCAATTTATACATTCAAATAAACTCGAAATTTGGACGATATTTATCCAAGCCAGTAGGCAGAAATTTTTCGTCGTGTCTCCCACAATTCAGGTTGGGTCTATGCATGATTATCTCGTGGCTTGTAACTGATCTGAGTTAATGTTAATACTCGCCAAAAGTGAAGGGAAGATAACATGGAGAGGAATGTAGGTTTAAATACCAAGAAATTACGGTGGAAATGAAAGAGATAGGCACGTATTCGTTAAAACGTGGCCAGGCGTGTTACGTCACCTGGGATCCTTGCGATGATGGCTTTTGAATCTTGACTCCTTAAAACAAATCTAAGCAGCTACAGAACTTCTAAACTGATGTTTTTACGTGCATACCCGTGAGCGCTCGAAGGCCGTACCACAAAGAAGATTAGAAGGTATACGAAATATGATAATTGTTTTTTTTATCTGGCAACAAAACTGACACCTTTTTTTACAAGGAGTCATGTTTGCATTGGCCACAATACCTGCGGTCGGAATGCAAACAAAAAACTACTCTGATAATGTCCTTGAAATTGATTGGTCCACACGCCGAAAGGCGTCATCTGGTCCAACACCATGTGAGACTAGGCTCTAAGAAAAGCTGTCTTGGGTGTGGACCAATCAATTTCAAGGACAGTGCATACATTATCAGAGTTGTGTTTTTGGTTTGCATTCTGACCGCAGGTATTGTGGTCAATGCAAACATGACTCATTGTAAAAAAGCTGTCAGTTTTTTTGCCAGATAAAAGGGTAATAAAACAATTATCATATTTTTCTACTGGCAAAGGAGGTTCCAATGGAGGTATACGAAACTTAACAGTTTTTTCTCGTTCTGTCGTCATCTTTGTCTCACCTCAATGCCACGGATTGGGGTTTAAATTCACGTGCCCGCCAACAGGGGGAGTGCACAGGGCTTAATACCCACAAATCATAGCGGCTTCTCAACGCGAAAAGCCAGATACGCACTCACTTTAGTGAAGTTAAATAATGAAATGAAGGGAGTAGATGTATGACTATTTTAATTTAAAATAAACTTTGAGAAGCATTTTCTGTTGCTAACACAATTGCATTTGGTGTCCACGTAAGGGGCCCCATAGTGTACATTGTATAGAGGCTGAGTATAAGTACAGCCGAGAAGACCTGTAAGCCTTTGATGTGTTTTCGGGTTATACCGAATTGTTATTTTTGGAGGGAAGCGGCCGAAACTCTTGGGTTTGTCGCTTCCTCTATACAGTTTTAAAGAAAGGGTTTTCAATCGATACCGTGCGCGATTTGTATATAAGTCCCGACTGTCGTTGAGGTATGGCTCACGGTTGTAACCACGCACAGAACAGTATTAGTATGACATAGCGTTGTAGTCACCGAGTGAAATATACGTAGTCGAGCGCAAATGGTTACCGGTACTCTTTAATTTGGGCATACCAATTAAAGCAATGTTGATTTTGAGAAAGACGTTCTTAAGCTGCCAACCTTTTAGAAATAAATACTCATACCTGTCAACCCCTTATCAGTGCCCTCCCTTATTACAAATCAATTCAGACCTTATTTGTGACCCCGTGTCCTTATAAATCTCAACGTTCATCCTACAAGGGAGAAACACAAACAAATAAACAAACATTGTGAATTTTTTGTGCCCGTATTGAAACGTCTGTACGCCGCATGGACCTAAAAACGAAGTTTTCTCTGTACAAAAATACGGGGGTTTAAATAAATAAAACCACTAAGGTTTAAAGCTTTCGTAACCGCAGGGATTCATATTCTTGGTTATTTCGGTAAAGAGACGCTGAAGGGAAATAATAAAATAATGAAAATATAAAACAATAAAAATTCTCACGACGTTTCGACTGCAACACAAGCAATCATCATTTTTCACACCTGATGGTGATTGCTTGTGTTGCAGTCGAAACGTCGTGAGAAATTTGTTTGTTTTATATATTTATTATTTTATTATTTCCCTTCTACGTTACTTTACCGAAATAACCAAAAATAATAAATTATGTTTTAAATTTTTATTCTTTTTTGTTTTTTCCCTTCTACGTGACTTTACCGAAGTAACCAAGAATATAAAAAACCCCCACTAAGGGTTTGACGGCTCTGATTGAATCGTGCCTAATCGAATCGCTGCGCGCTCGAATCGACGCACGACAACGCAGCGACGGGAATCGATTCCCTTTCCGTTGGGTTCCGGTTACCCCCCCCCCCCCCCTGTCGCCCCCCCCTCCCTGGCAACCGTTGCCAGGGGCCCAAGCGGCGGGGGCTTCGCACGCGTTGTGAGGCCGCCGGTTAAAAAGGAAAACTTCCATCGGCGGCTTCGTCGTCGTTGTCGTCGTCGTTGTTGTTGTTCAACCAGTTTACAACAAATGTGCAAGTTTAAAACAGCTGCTTGAGAGGAGAAACCTCGTGGGCTTTCGACGCAAGCGTCGTTTGCCGGCTGTGGATCACGAGAAGAGGTGAATGATAACACTAACAAAAAATGTATATTTTTTGAAAATATCTTAAAATATTTTTTTATGTTCCTGGGTAGTAAGTGTTGTTTTCTAATTGCTTATGCCGCAAAAGTATTGAAAATGGTTATTATCACCCAACAAACTTTGCTTTTGTGACCAGGACAGTGAGAGAAAACGTGGTGTGCGTTTGCGTCATTCCTTCACGTAAAGTCGTGGTCACAAAAGCAAAGTTTGTGGGGAATAAGAGCAATTTTATATACTTTTGAGACATAAGCAATTAGAAAATAACACTTACTACCCAGGAACAAACATCGTGTTAACCAAGTGTAACAATAATGACGCTAAAAGTCGTGGTGTGGGTTTCATTAAAGGCGTTTGCGCCCGTTAAGTCTGCAATTGTCAATGGCGAGTGAACCAAAGTTAAGCGATTTAATATTTTTGCAAAAATTAAATACTCACGTATATAAGGAACGACGAGAGCATATTAGCCGTGTGTTAGCGCAAGTTCTGCGGTGAGAGATGTTTAAAATAGTCTTGAGGTTTTTTCGGTAAAGTCACGCAGGTAAAAATAAGAAATAAAATAATAATAAATGCAAATAAATCACATTTTCTTTTTTACTTTAAATTTTTTACCTACGTGACTTTACCGAATAAACCTAAGAGTATGAATCCTTGCAGTCACGAAAGCTTCAAATCTAGAATAGATATTTAAAATGTATTACTTTAAGCTTGAGCCCACGTGTAATTATTGATGCGTTAGAACGAGTTTTTTTTATTTTCTTCAAGTTACTATTTTTCTACGTGGATTATGTTTTTTTATGTTTGTTTAAAATAATGACTTACGATGCGAGATTATATTGTGTATACAGACATAGGTAGTGATATGGCATTCACCCAGCAGTGGATACACAGCGGTTGATGATAGTAACCGCATTCGAACGTTAACTTTATAATGTGAAACCATTAATAATTATAAACACGCTTTGATACCGTACTTTTAAAAATTTAAACGATTTATGTTTCAGTGTAAGAAGTTTGTCTTGTCTTCTTGGTTCTTTCGGTAAAGTCACGTCGAAGGGAAGTAATAAAATAAAATTAAAATAATAGTTATTTTTATATTTTTTTATAATTATTTTATTGTTTTATTTGTATTATTTTATTACTTCCCTTCTACGTGACTTTACCGAAAGAACCAAGAAGATGAATCCCTGCAGTCACGAAAGCTTTAAATCGAAATTTAAGTTTGTCTTGTTTTACACGCAGTTTAGCCGTTTAATTGTTGCGAGTCAATGAAGACTTAAAAATGTTCTACAAACGACAACAAATATCCCTTTTTCTACCTACGTGACTTTACCGAAAGAACCAAAAACTATGGATTCCTGCAGCCACGAAAACTTCAAATATAGAATGAACAATTAACCCAAAATCACAACAACGCTTGGTCCTGCAATCCCCGTTGTTGTGTGGTGTCGGTAACTGTGAATGCAGTTGAAGGAGTTAACATGCGCTTGTTGTTATTACAATAAATAAGCCAAACACGCTGCCACATGGCGTCCTAATTCCACTGGCAAACACGGGCCAGCTTTGGCCACATTTGGTGCGGCGTTTGAATTCGCGGACGGAATTCCAGACAGACCCCACTGGCTTACAGTACAGTACTTTATTATTCATTCACTCTGGTGCCCCTAATTCATGTAGAGTGACCGTGCTTCGTCACCACGGCATGATACCCACAAGCGATGGGTTCTATTCGTGCGTGTGGCTAAATGTTCTTGAGTTAAATGCCGATGTCTGCCGTGAGCCACGACGAGAGGGTTTTGCTGTTCGTCCTCCGTTGCAGTTTGGGTTGTACGGCCACAATTGTGTGACCGTGGCTTGTCCTTCATTTTACATCCACGAAGATGTGCCGCATCGGCGTGTTGATGTGTTGATGCGGTTGATGTCTTCGAGGAATGTCAAAGCCGGGAGATGCGATGTTAACACTGACCGAGCCAATGTTAAACAGTCCAGCGTGTTGACCAGGCAATTATTAAACCGATATCACGAGTTTCGTCGAGTCGTCTGGCTGCCCGCAGTTGATGAAGCCATCAAGCTCACCAAGCCAATAGCAGCCTTGTTAGCCAACACATAACGGACTCAACTCAGTCAGGGTTGACCCAAGGTAGCGAGTTGATGACGTCGATTATTGGGCGTTGACCAATGTAAAATGCGTTGACCAAATGAGGAGGTAGACTTGGGTAATCAATCAACCTAGCGAACTGGTCAAGCGTAGTTGACCAACGCAGACTTGAACAATTATATGAGTTGACCAGGCCAGAAAGTTGACCCATCTAGGAATTGACTTGTTTATTAATCAGCATACAGAAACTTGTCTGCGTTCATGAGCAAAAACCATCCCGCTCAGCCACCCAAGTAAGCAGTCGCTCTGTGTGGGTTTAAAACTCTCTGGCTGCAGACGCCAACAAAGCCGCTGGGAGACAGCCACGCTGGGTCCTCTCAGCGTTTTGTTTTAAATTCCTGTTTCGTTTGGCTTGTTGTGTGGAATGTTAAAACCACCGGGAGGCGCGTAACGGGTTCCCAATCATGGCCAAGGGGTACAGTGTTCTGGACCACAGGCTATGTATGGATCAGATACTCCATAAAGTTGTACTCATCGCAGAATTCTCGAGTTGTATTAATTGTCAACAAAGTTATGATAAATGATTAGAGTCGGGAGTATTTTCAGTAGTGGTCTACCATCGATTTTCTAAGTTTACGGTTCGAGTGAACGGTTGTATCGTCTTGTAATGACCAGAGTTAGCAAATTATTCCTTTTATATAATCTAAAAGTGGATTACCAAGAAGAAGAATAACACGTTAGGTGAGTGAGATCGCATGTTCATGCATGTTGGTAGTGGCTACTAAAAGTTGGGATGTGTTGTACGAGATGCAGAGTTTGATAAAATAATGTTTTGAGAGATGAAAAAAAAGCTTCAGTACAGTCTACATTGTAAAAAAATGCAAAAGCTGGACGTTTCAGTTTAGCATTCAGGCAGCTGGGAATGCCTCCCTTTGGTTAAAAGCATGTGGAAGATAAAAGTTAATGTTTATACATGGGGAGGGGGTGTGTAAATGACAAAGTCACAGTGGACATTCTTAGCACAAATGTCCATTATCAGCCCTGAGCCTGTGGTTGGAAATTCCACGTATGCATGGCGGGTGCCAAGTCTGTGCAATTGACTTTGTGCAAAGCAACACTTGTATTCACGATTGGGGGACGTGGACTGAGTCAGGCCTGACTGGGATTTGAACTTATAACTTTAGTACCGTGAGTCCTGAACACTGCAATATGTATTGCTAACAGATCATTTGTCTGATTATTGATTAATTTTGACTCACACTTTTACCCTCTGTGACTTTTTCATGCTATAAATTGGAAATATTAAATTCATCTTAATTTTAAGCTTTCGTGACTGCAGGAATCCATACTCTGGTTCTTTCGGTAAAGTCACGTAGGTATAAAATAAAATAAATCACGACGTTTCGGGCGCAACACAAGCGTCCGTCATCAGGTTTTATGCCAAGTCTCCAACGCAAATGAGCTTCAATGTTTCAGTGCTATCATCTGGTTCTAAACAATGTCAAATACATGTTTTATACATTTATTTTCCAATTACATCGCAGCATGTCGGTCATTCAATGCCAGATGGTCGGTTCATACAAAGGGGGGCATACCTTTAAGGTCACATGCCAACCATGCACCAGTGATCTGGCAAAATGAAGTGATTGCTGCTGCTGTTAATCCTGCTGTTACGGCTGCTATTAATCATCTAGCTGCTGCTATGCAGATACCCAGATAGACATCCAGCCTGTCACTCAACTGGCCGATCAGCCGTTGGCAACGTTGCTACCCATTCACCTGGCAATGTAGCCACATCCAGCCTCCCCCACCCTTCCACCCCTGTCCTGGCCACCCATCAACTAGAACAAGTGGTCACCCAGCCTCCTAGCCACCCTTACCCACCCAGAGCAGAGCGTCCTGGGCGTGTACAGTGAATGGTTGGACGTGTGCAGGAGCGTGGGTGACTCGGTTATAAAAATGCAGTTGCCTCACAACGGAGTCAAGCTACGGGTGGTGGGGGGTGTTTCGTTACCGAGGCAACAGGGGGGGCTGCATTAGTAACCGCGATGCAGCTCACGGACTCCTTACACAGCAGCGTTACGGGGTGGGTTCTGTGAAGACGGCAAGGGCCCTATTTCAATTTCTTATTGTTGCTGTTGTTTGGATGCTAGGGTTAATTTGTGTGTGCGTGCTGGAGGCTTGATTCGAACTGATCGTTTTTGGTCATTAAGGAGATTTGCATTGCATTTGTGAGATTGGCGGCTTTATCACGGATTAAATGTGTTTAGCTGTAAATCGTGCATTCTGGCACCCGCTGTATATTTTTTGCACCGTTGTTTTACTGTAACACGTTTAATAGAGAATAAGCATTTATGTATTACGCGACAGATGTATTAACGTGGAAACGGTGACAGTGGGAGATATGTGTGGCTTATTTGAATGTGTTTGACTGTGGTGGAGGTAATGTAATGGGTGTTATGTCGGTTGGTGGTGCTGGTGATGTGGTTGTATGCAGGTGTAGGTAGGTGCTGGTGATGCCAGGACAGGCGGATTTGCCCATGATGGGCGGCTCTTTCAATCCAGGGGCCTTCGCGGGCCCTGCCGCCTACACGCCCGTGCTCATGCCTTTCAAGGTACCCGTCACAGCCGTGTGTACGCTTGTATGTGTGCGTGCGAGAGAGAGAGATTAATCGTATGTCTAAAACAGTAATTTCTCATTTAAGATGCACTACTGGAAAATGCCTCTTTAAGCGAGAATGCTTTTAGCGCTGAATTAATGAATTCACATTACAGGGCACAAATAAATAAAGCAATGCAAATTTGCAGCGCATTTGCACTATACAATCAGCCTGCAGTCATCACACGGCGGGACAAATAACCGACATGTGGGTACACCTCGTACTTTATAATTTCGTGCATATGCCCGGAATTCCCATACCGCTCAGCCGTGCAGCTCAAGAAAGTTGTTTGTCGTCGACCACTCAGAAAGCGCGTTATAACGGTGCGCGTTCCACGTTATGACGGGCGCGTACTGTGTTGTGCGCGAAAAGTGTTCCCAAACAGAGGAACTGTGTTGTTGTGAAAACGCGTTGTTGTGAAAACACGTCTAGCGAGGACTTATGTTCAAGACATAGGGAGAGATTATGTTTCGATTTAAAGCTTTCGTGACTGCAGGGATTCATCTTCTTGGTTTTTTTCGGTAAAGTCATCACGTAGAAGGAAGTAATAAAATAATAAAAATAAAACAATAAAATAATTCTCACGACGTTTCGGCCACAACGCAAGCAGCCGTCCTCACCTGAGGACGGCACCTGAGGACGGCTGCTTGCGTTGTGGCCGAAACGTCATGAGAATTATTTTATTATGTTTTATTTTTATTATTTTATTACTTCCCTTCTACGTGACTTTACCTAAAGAACCAAGAAGAAGGAGAGATTATGTTGATAAGCCTTTGGTCAAATTACCGGGAATGCACCCCATCTCGTCAGACCTCGGAAGGTAAGCAGAGTTGAGTCTGGATAACGCTTGGATGGGTGACCACCACGAACTAACAGGTTGGTATATGCTGTGCGGCTACATGGGAGGGCACAATAGAACAGTGCAGTAAAGTACATTGTTATATTGTACTTCTATGCTACCAGGTCTGTGTTTTTCACCTTGACCAACCCGCATTGACCAGCGTGGTGATGTATGGTCAAATAACCCCCACGGTCTACAGGGCGTGATGAGGGCCTTGTCCAGCAGTGGATTGGCGAAAGAGCTGTGTGTTGATTTATATTTGTATTGCGATGCAATTATTGACTCATAATTAATCTCCAATGTGTTGCGCTGTGTTGAGTGTTGTGCCTTTTCGCGTTTTTACTTCACTCACAAAGTTACGTATGCGCTTTGGCAATGTGCATTGTGCAGTGCACGACATATACTCTGTGTCGTAAGCTGTGCGTCTCATGTTGCGTACCATCGTCATGTGCCACGCGGAGTGTGCTGTGCGTCATGCGGTGTTCTTCATGTTATCGAAATAACAACTTGTCGTTGCCTTTAAATGATCAAAACTGCAGTTCTTTGGGTTCATCAATTATTTTTTTAAAATTAAAATCCACCGTACAAGGTACCATTCAGTCCCTCCAGAAAAACGCGGAGTTTTTTGGTGATTGTTGCGGGCAAAAATCGTTGATTATGCGGCACGTTTTCTTAAAAAATGCGATGGAATATGCGGGATATTTATGCAATTTTATGCGATTAAATTGCGGGAACTTGCAAAAACTGCGGTTTGATGAAAAAGAGAAAAAAAAGTGATTCCCCCAACACCCTATTCACTAGGCTACTACTTTAATGTAAAGAGTCATTTCGTATTACTTCCTATGATAAGCAAGCATACTACATCACAAAGTGCTGGGAATATTTAAGTTCTCATCTTGTTTTATTTCAGACCTTAACAAACAGATGGCTCAAACTTACAAAACATTGAGTCGAACAAGTTCTGTAGCTTTACAAAATGAATATGCTACAACTTCTGTAAAAATGAATAAATAAAATATTTAAAAATAAAATATGTGCTTCCTGTTTTACAGAGGTAGCTATACAAAACAGACATCTTCTGTTAAAATAAGTGTTTTCAGTGCACAGTAACGTAAGCAATACAGTAACAGTACAGTCTTACAGTAATGTAAATTTACATACTACTAACAAAAAAGTGCAATCTTTCAACTGTAAAGTTGCATAAACTCCTGAATAAAACTAACTACGTAGCCTCTAACACTTCATAACGTTCCCATGGCAACAGGGGAAATGGCTGCGCTTGTGTGAAGTAAACGCAATATTTTTCAACTTTCTGCTAAGATATATGTGACTTTTTGCAACGAAAATGCGGGGATTATGAAATCATGCAAGCCCGCATATTTTGCGCGCGGAAATCTGCAATTTATGCGGCGAAAGTGCGGCGTATTTGAAAAAACGCGCCCCCCGCATAAATATGCGGACTTTGGCTGATTTTGCGTGGAATCTTGCGATCGCATAATCGCGTTTTTCTGGAGGGACTGACCATTTGGTGGAGACTATAAAAAGAGGGTGCCCAATGAAGACTTGGATTAAAAACATTGTAGAATGGATGGGCTTGACCACAATCAGCTGATTTAAAACTAAAAACTTTTTTTTATTAAGGCCCCAGTGAGCCATACAGCTCTTTTTCAGAAGCGACCTGGCCACAAATGATAGCTCAACGAAGTGGCTTATCACGTGGAAAGGTAGAGGGTGATCATAACCAGAGCTGCCAGTTTTATTGAATTGTTTTTGTGCTTTTGCTGTACCTCAAGTTCCGCGAGCGCAGGGAGGCTGTGGACTGGCGGCGTCTGGGCGCGGTGGACGTGGAGCGCGTGGCTCGCGAGGTCGACGTCGCCACGCTACAGGCAACTGACGCAGCCTCCTCCAATTCCCTCCACTCACACACACTGCAGCCATCTTCTGCCTGTCGTAGCCTTCAGCAGCTACACGGCGTGTAGCCTTTGTCAAAATCAACCGGAGTGTACTCGGTCCGGTTGATTTTGTTAAGCTCAGCTGGATTTGAGCCTGATGACTGACATGTGTAAAACATGTGTTTTCGGTTTCTGCATAGGGTAGTGCAGTAAAATCCAGTTTTGTAATGTACTATGCTCCAATGCATATGCTCACCATCTTCACCAACCCTCTGATGTGCACACTGCTTGGAGATCCCTCCTCATGGCTGTTCCCACTGATAATGCCCTCAACCTGTTGAAGTCCAAGATTTAGACTTTCCTGTTCTCCTAATTTGACATTTTTTTTCATCTTGACTGTCACATGCTGTGCTGCATTTAAGTTTTTAGCTTCCTACCCTCCTTTTTCCAAGCTCGATGTTTTGACTTGGGAATTTAGAGATTTTCTTGCTGCATGCTGACCCGAGAAAAGAGGGCTCTTTGCAAAAATTCAAACACATTTGACCCTGACAGCTGTCCATTGGCATCCCTACCGCTAATTACTTGCGAAATCAAACGCACGTTGGAAAGCATTCCATAATCCACGCTATGTTTTATTGTTTTCTTAACTAGTTTTGAGTTGCTTCTTCTCCTAATCTCCCCGGCGGCGGTGCGTGCTTTCCCCACTCACAGGAGTACATCACGACAGTGACGTACTGCGATGTGACCAGCGAGCGCTGTGCGCGCTGCCAGGCGCCCGCCGACCCGTTGCTCGTGAAGCTGCTACGGTTGGCCCAGCTCACGGTCGAGTACCTGGTGCACACGCAGGGCTGCCTGGGCGCTGGCGCGCACGCCGCGCACACACGCACGCAGGTAAACGGCTCGACTTCGGTGCACAGGCAGTGCAGCACTGGCGTCTGTAGCAGGGAGAACTTGATAGGAAGAAAATCACCTGCACAAAAAAGAAATGGCTCTTATCTTGCACGTACCAGCAGAGATTAATTTCATCCAGGTTACTGACCAGCAAATTTTTTTTTTCTTGCACTCAGCACACCACCGATAAGCACGGTTGGCTACGTACGGTGCAGAAGAAGTTAAATATTCATGTTAGTCACGTGCTTACTCCAGTCTACCAGCGACCTGGAAAATATTGAGAAATTAAACTTTGCATACCAGGCATATAACCATGCATCGTTTCATCAATTAAAATAGCTTATTGTACTCATATATAATACATTAATTAGTTTTTAAGTATATTATTCATGTGAATCATATGCGGATGTAATTATATGCAGCTGTGAGGCTGTGGTACATGGCGATCAGCGGGGGATGGTGCAGCAACATTCTTTGTTCTACTGTACTTCTGTGCCCCCACATTTATGCTCACTGCCTTCATCAACGTGCACTGTCCAGAGTAGTGAAGTATGGTCAATAACCCCCCACTACCCGCATAGCGTGGCAAGTCCCTTACCCAGCAGTGAGTTTACCACAGGGTTGAGCACATCTATGTGTTTGTATTGATTCTTTATTTTATTCTGTCTCATTTGTAGAGTGTTCATTCAAATCGACTGATTGATTGAACTACACTACCAGCATATGATACATTATATGGGTTTTATCTTCGTTTAATTAACAAAAGAATGGAAAATTCTACTTTAAGTTAATTGTACAACTGACCACAGGGACGTGCACTAACTGGGAATCAATGTACATGGAACCCTAAAGACATTGGACCTTGGAGACGTCGATTGAAGTATACATGGGATCTTGGGGCACAGAATCTGACATAAAGTGCACACGCGAACAAGTTGCACAGGAATCAGGGCACACCCAATGTGTGAGTCTTGGTGAAACCCAGCAAACTAGGACACGCAAAGACACAAGAGACAAAGGATATGATAAACATGGGATCCAGGACACAGATCGAAGACACACAGAACCTGAGACGCAAGGAACACACTGTATTCAGGACATGTGGGGTCTAAGACATAATACCTGGGGCACACAATACCTGGGATGAATTTAACTTAGAAAATATAGTACTCTAAACACAAGTGACTGAGAAGATATGGAACCCAAGATGCGTGCGGAAAATAGAGTAGGGGAGGGGGGCAGGCTGGGCAGGATAAAATGGCTGCGTGGGTCCTAGTTATTTTGTCCGTGGCTCCAAAAGCCTTTTAATCAGATCTGGGAAACACCTGATGTGGGACACACATCCTGCATATCTAAGTCAGGGACACATGGCAACCAGGACGCGAGGCGACACGACTTAACACGTGGCTTAATTACTCACGAAAAGCACTTTCTTTTCTGACAGCCTGTAAGGCTAAACCGAGGAACGTCTACTTTTGTACGCACGCAGGGTCTAGCGGCGGAGCTGGGCCGTGCCCGAGCCGAAGCGGAACGCCTTGCGGAGGAGCTCAAGGCCGCGCGCGACGAGTGTCGCCGCAGGAAGAAGTTGGTGGCGGCGTTGCAACTCATGCTGCAGGCCAACGCCAACCACTACCACAAGGTACCCACCGCCATGCAGGCGCTCGCCCCAACCCACTGTGTCGCCCGTCACTTGGACTCGGTTGCCCAACTGAACCGGGCGGCCCGGTTACTGGGGTCATTGCGATACAGCAAATTAATGTCCGCGATAATCATCGTCCATTTTGCCGAGTATTGTTGCGTTTTGATAATGGTTGCTCATCACGTTTTTTGTACAAATTATATTTGCTGTTTTTTTTTTAAAGCAACCACGTGTTTGTTCATTGTGGTGCTTTTAAAATAGAGCCAAGCACAACGATAATAGAATAAAAATGCCCCGTGCAGTAATAAAGGTATAGAAATCTGATATTGCAATGATCATCATATTGTAAAAACTAATGCAGGGTTTGTGTGGAACAAACGAATAAGAGGTTTCTAGGAGTCAGCAATAATGGGTCTGTGAAAGGCAGAGTGGGTTGCCATTCGGACTCTGAAAGATCATGAGAGTTTTTGTCTGCACTTCTGCCCATCTGAACTTCCTCCACTGGTTTGACAACAAACATCAGTATGGCCTGTATGTAGATTACTATAAAATATAATGCCATTCTGTCTCATAGAGGTCCAAAGCATGGTCATATACAGGTCAACGATCCCTAATCTACATAGGCTGATGCTTAACAACATATGCACCCCGTAGTTATCCAGGATTTCATTAAAAGTTCTGTATTCCAGGCATGTGTTAGCATAACCAGGATTAGAATATTGTACAGACTGCTAAAGCTTCATCATTATCATCATTAGCCATGAATCAATCCTCTAATGTGGGAAGACCTCTCCAAGCCGTCGTCATTCTATCATGATCCTTTAGTGTAACATTTCAGGGGTGCCATGGTAGAGATGTTAACGACCTCACCTGGTATATAGGAGGTCATGGGTTTTATTCTGACCCTGGTGCCTGTATATTTGGAGTTTGCTTTTTGGTTCTTTTGGTAAAGTCACGTAGAAAGAAGAATCAAATTTACCGAAAGAACCAAAAAGTAATTCCTGCAGTCACGAAAGCCACAAATCACATTTGGAGTTTGCTTGTGGTCACGTTCATTTTTCTCTGGGTCCTCCCGGTTTTTCTCTCCATATTTAGAAACTTGCGTATAAAGTATTTGGCTGCTATAAATTTCCACATGATAAGCCACTTCGTTGGGTTATCATTTGTGGCCAGGTCGCTTGTGCAAAAGAGTTATATAACTCAGTGGGCTTTACCTGGTAAGAGAAAAAAAGTTTAGTTTAATCGTTTTTAGTTTTCATATCGCACCAGCACACGAGCTGATATTTCATCAATTCTAGATTTGAAGCTTTCGTGACTGCAAGGATTCATACTCTTAGTTCTTTCGGTAAAGTCACGTAGGTAAAAAATGAAATAAAAATGAATAAAAATAAAACAATAAAATCACGACGTTTCGGAGGCAACACAAGTCTCCGTCATCAGGTGGGACCGTCACAGCCACTTGATGCAGCAAATCTGGCTGTGACGGTCTCACCTGATGACGGAGACTTGTGTTGCCTCCGAAACGTCGTGATTTTATTGTTTTATTTTTATTAATTTCATTTTTTACCTACGTGACTTTACCAAAAGAACTAAGAGTATGATATTTCATCACTCAATCTCCTCCTTCTGGATGTGTTCCCATCTTTGGCTTCCACTCCATAATTATTCTCGACGACCAGCCATTATCCCTTCTGGCAACATTTCCTACCAAAGCTCACATTTCAAGTCGAATAGTGCACAAATACGCATGGAAAGGTGTGTGCTTGGAACTATATTGAGAGATAGAAAGTGGAACATGTAAATTAGAGAGCATACACAAGTTAGATATATGATATTTCTAAAGCTTATATAGACATATTTGGAAGTGAATGTTAAACTCTTTAATAAATAACTTATGATATTTCATGTTAATAATTTTGATACTGGCAAAAGAGGGTCCCATAGATATAGTACATGGAATTAATTTCAGTGACATCAGATTGATCAGTTTCATGAATTTTCACCCCCTGGTGCCACAAACATAAGTCTCAGCCACCAGATGGGTCCATGTGGAGTTTTGCCCCTAGGGTAGGTACGCATGAATGCACGGGCGCATAAGGCCATGCACTCGTAAGATTAAAACGGAAGCAATTGCCTTTTTCATGGTTGATTAAAAAAAAAACGTCGTGTTTTAACGCCAAACCTCGCTGCCCCGCCGCACACGATCACGTCAAAAGCGAGTGAGCGTGTGCAGCCATGCAACGCAGTGCACGCATGGAAGAGAAGGCGTCTTCAGGCTCCTTATACCGAGGGTGGGAAACCTTTCCATTGCTGAAAGCTGTATACGTAACGGTAAAGGTGTAGCCTGTTGTATATGTTGGGTTAAGAAAATTTGTTATGTTGTATGCGTGCGTGGGTGAAATTATTATGTTGTATATGTGGGTTATGAATATTCAGTGAAAATAATAATAATTAAATGAAATCTGGCCAAATGTGTAATTATCCGAAAATATGTTAATTATGTAATTACGCACATTTTAATTATGCCAATTCGAGAGGTAATCGGATTAATTATGCGAGTGGGTGTAATTATGATAATACAAGTCGTTATGATAACCAGACCCCGCCTCGGTGACGAGGGTGGGTTATCGATCGGAAGAAGGCAATTAATCGTATGCAGTTATGCAGGTGTGGTGTAAGTATGCAAGATTAACTTAGATTAACTCGGCATCGTTGTCTAGGTTCGTCTCATTCTCGCTTTAACATTCCCAGAGTTTTATTCGTGGTTATATTTTTAGGTCCCCGGTTCACCCCGTTATCGCTTTAACATTTACTGAGTATGTATTAGTGTGTTTATTAAGGTCACCAAGTTCAAATCTCAACGCAGAAGCAGATCTTATGCATAGATTTCAGGAAAGAATCACACAACCACTTCTGTATTGATCAATTTATTACTAATTCAACCTTAACTATGATATAGTATGCGAACTCTCAATCCCGGAACGTCAACACGGCATCAATACAGTATCATCAACGATTGTCTGATTTCACTTTGACAACTGCACATGGATCCCGCATAACGCGATGGTTGTTAGTGAGAGAGAGTCGTTAAAACACGCAAATACTATGCTAAGAAAACCTTAATGTTAATGAATGATTATACTCAATATTGTTCATAACGCGATGGTTGTTAGTGAGAGAGAGAGTCGTTGAAATATGCAAATACTATGCTAAGAAAACCTTAATGTTAATGAATGATTATACTCAATATTGTTCATAACGCGATGGTTGTTAGTGAGAGAGAGAGTCGTTGAAATATGCAAATACTATGCTAAGAAAACCTTAACGCTAATGAATGATTATACTCAATATTGTTCACGCAGTACCACACTCCTTATTGACCATACGCAACCCTTATCACGTTGTTAACACCTTGGGTCACGGGACAGTTGAATATTCTGTAGAGGATGCGAGTACGTGCGGCGATTATGACTGAAAGATACTTGAAAGATTATACGGCGATAAAAAAAACACAATCAAAACAGTTATTATTCTTAAAGGCACCAATCTCAACAGATACATCGGCAGGTTATCTGACAACAGAACGGCCCGGAGTAAGGGCCTGCGACGGTGCTCCTTTTCCGAAGCTCGTTATCTTATACCAAGTTTACTAATTGGGGACCAGATCACCTGATAAGGATCCGGTGGGCCACCACTCCCCACGTGAGCGTGGCTCGGCGGAAGGAGGTGCCAAGAATCAGTTCGTATTGATGGATCTGTTGGGAATTTATGCGATTAAGAGTACAGCCCACTAAATATTAAAGATACAAATTAAGAATACTCTTATAAACGACGGAGGGCCATCCCTCGGTCTCGTTGTGATGCTTTCCAGCCACGGATGGCTTATGGGTTCGAGTGTCTTTGAGTGGTAAGAGTTGTCTTGAATAGTCAGTGTTCGGAGTCGATTCTTTAGGTCAAACAGACGCCTGGTGGTCGTGTGGTGAGGGGGCGGTGCGCGTCATACGTATCAGTCGATCCCGTGGCGAATTGGTTCGGATGGCTGTTGATACGCTGTCGCAGTTCGGAACCCGGTCGGTAGGTGGCGCCCACAACTCGCTCGTAGCGTGCAGCTCTGGGTTGTCGCCGAATCGCGATGCTCACCACTCCGGTGGCAGCAGAGACCCCGGTTCGGCAGAGGTTAACGAGCTGAAGATGAGTCGAGCCGACCCGCTGGTCGCAGCTCGCTCCTGAGTCGACCCTCCCGGTCGAGCTCGCTCCTGGGTCGACCCGCTGGTCGCCCTCGCTCCTGAGTCGACTCTCTGGTCGCACTCCTGAGTGGACCCACTGGTTGCACTCCTCCTGAGCCGACTCCCCCGGTCGCGCTCCTGAGTGGACCCTCTCGTCACACTCGTTCCTGAGTCGACCCTCCCGGTCGAGCTTCTGAGTGGACCCTCCCGTCGCACTGGTTTCCAATGCTCAGGATCCTTTACTTTATGCCGAAAAATCCCCCTGGATCCCGCCCACAAGGCGGGACTTCTTTCGATTTTTTTTTGTGTCAGGATCTGTCCGTAGGCAGGTGTGTCCATGTGTGTGTCCGTACGTCCGTGTGTCCTTGTGTGCATCACTGACGGTATATTCCGTTGTCACACTCCCTCCATAAAACCCACGAGCAAACAATCAGATGTTACAAATTGCCTCGAGGTCGTCTCTCTGTCTGGGCGCAACATTATCTCCTGTCTGGCCTTCCCCATGAACCCAAAACACAGACGTCACAAATGTCTCATAGGCGTCTTTGTTCGCACCACCTGGAGGGAGGGGCAACGCTCTCTCCGACCCGGCGCACAAAGAAATGGCCAAAAGTTCTAAGTTAACATTTGTCCCTTACTATTTCACAGCCATGATTCCGCATGTACCCAAGGTCTGTCGTTTCCCATCGTGGTGCCCGACCCAAGTGGAGGCGTCTCCCCGAGCGTACACACACTCCCATCCCCGCGCTGCGGAGATACAAAGACGGCCGGGATCTCCCTTTCTCTCCGACCCTGGGTTTAACATCGTTTTTTATTATGTATTTATATTCGACCTGGTGGTGATTCATCCCGTTATCCTGGCTTTTCATAAGTTTTACTTTTGTCTTTTCATGCATATGCTTCGGGTCGAGTTGTATAGAAAGCATTAAAGTATGGAAATAACATTTCATATTGACTTAATGATGGTGATGGTTCAGTAGGCGTACTTGTGACCTGGTTTAATTGGAGTGGGTGTGAATATCAAACTTTAGCCTACCCTGTTGTTAAATTCCGACTTTAACGTTACTTTAATAGCAATACAGAATAATTGAGCTTTTTGTCTTAACTAGGCGAACGCGAACTTCTGGTGACCCCCGCACTGTCTCTGCCTCCCCCCCCCTGTGCACACAGCCTTGAGCTGACCCACTTAATTTAATTCTTGGCCTTCTTGGGTTTATCTATGTTTCCTCAGCTGCAGGAGAACAAGGCGTGCTTCTACCTCCCTTTCTGTGTGCACGTGTTCTAATTAGCTCGGAATCCCTAACACACAATCAGTGATGATTCCTGGCTTTCTGTGGTTATGACTTAGACAAAGGCCCTCTGCTTCCTTTCACTGCCTTTGCCTTGAAGCAAGGTTGCAATTCTGTCATCCTAGCCCTCCTCTCGTTCATTACTTAACAACACCTGGTGTTTTGCAGTTTGGTGCGCTTTGGTGTGTTTCACTCATTAAAAAAACAAGTAAAAAGATAATATATAAAAATCATCAAATATTATTAATCTCAATTATGGAAGAAGGGTTAGGATACAACATACCGCCCTTTTAAAAATGACCAGTGGTCAAATGGCCACGGGTTATTTTTAAAAAAATATGTATACCCTTCTTCCATCATGAACCATCGATTGTCCTCAAGTTTTGCTGCTATTCCTTACAACGCGTGCGTACGTGTCACAACTTAACATGGTTATATTTGAATTGAGCAAAGAAAATTAAACAAGCGTTAAACATCGATATTGCGTTACATCGGTTCTGATACATCATGACTCCGACGAATATTCATTTTTGTTTTTGTTAAATCCTGGGAAACGCTAGGTAGCGGTTTCGAACGCATTTATGCGTTACCTTCCTCATGTTGCCTCGTTCACCACTTATCACTTCGATAATTCGATCACGGTTTTCGGGTTCGCTTTTTGTAGTTTCCTCTCTGACTCTCTGTGTCGTGGGAGTGTGTGGTGAAAAATTGTGCTGCACATAACCAGAATTCGCGCACACGACCCACTTTGACACTTGGTTCGAGGCATTCGCTCTCTCTGCGATTACATGCACATTTGCCGAGTCAGTGTGTCGATTTAATTCTGTCCCTCGTAATGTTGCCCTCTTTGTTTTTACTAGTGTGTTGGATTTCAACACCATTCCCGATACGTCATGGACATTCGTCTCCATTTTAGCACTCCGATCCACATAATTTTTGGTTTCCCTTGGATATTTTCCATTCAAAGGCTCATGCCTGCGCTCCTCAGGGCGTGTCCCTGCTGTCTGTTTTTGTACTGTCCGATCACGCTTCAATGCAACCCTGTCCTTGTATTCGATCCGCGCGTCATTTACGGGAGCACTGTCCACGTTTTTGCCCGCCCTGTCACTTGCAGCCTGCCTGTATTTCACATTGAGCGCCGGGTTTAACACCTCGGCGGGTGTGGCGCGTATGGGCTGCCCGCTCTCAATCACTGTGGATGGTTCATCACGTATTTGGACCGTATTCTGTGTTATTCCTCTATTCCCTCCTGGTATAGCCGGTGGAGGAATTGGTCGGAATTGGATCGATTGTGTTTGACCTCCCATCCTGCGATTCTCGTGAATGTTCGCATCCATACCTCCGCGGTATGTGTAACACCTTCCCGCTAGGTGGTTATCTTCCCATCTCTGTGCGTAATTTGAACCTTGCGTGTGTCGTGGGATGGGGTGTTGATATGGTTCTGCTCTGAACCTCTCCCTCCTACGATTCTCCTGCACCCTTGGCCCAGTGTTTTTCCCATTTGGGTGCCAAATTTTTCCTGGATTGTTACTTCGCCATCCCTGTGGGTAATCTTGACCTTGCGCATGTCGGGGCATGGGGTGTTGGTATGGTTCTATTCTGAACCTCCCCCTCCTGCGATTCTCCTGAATGTTCGGCTTTGTGCCGCTCTCATTCTCGTGCCAACCTCTCTCTGGGTTATTTTTCCATGTGTGCGTGCGTTTCTGCTGCTCTCTGCATGGTGGGACTGCTCGGTGATTTTTATTCCTCTCTGAGAGGCTGGGTTCCTCATCCCTCTCCCTGTGTTCTGGATCCGAATTATGATTCTTAGCTCTGTATAACCATGCCATGTACGCCTTGCTCTCTATGCGGCGTAAGGATGCGGTTTCTGGATTCAAAACCATTCTCACCCTTTCTGTAATCTCTGGGCTTCAAGGATTCAAAAAACATAATTTTGAACATTTTATCCCCTTCGTGGTATTGATTCACATCGCCTGCGTAATACGCTCTTTTAAATTGGACGAGGTAGTCACGTGGATCTTGGTCCATGCCCTGGGTCATCGATTTTACAGCATAAAACCCCTCAGTGAGTGTCGAATATTCTCCAAACTTCCGAATCACTGCCAGGCTCAATTGTTTAAAATCATTTCTAACCTTGTGTGGTAGTGACTTTACCCATGGAATAGATTCTTTATGTAAGGTCCGTTTCAACAAACTCGCTTTTTCATCCCGTCTCCTCAGCCCTCTAATCATTGCCTCCTCTTCCACTGTCGCGATATGTGTGTGGATATCCATAGTCTTATTGTGGGGGTCAAAATCGGGAATTCTGACTAGAGCCTTGTCCATCAACTTAAGGGTTTTACTGGTGAACAGGTATTCCGAAAGTTGATTGCTGACAGCGTCATCATCAAACAAGTTATCATCAGGCAATCTGTCACTTTGGTCTGTGCTGTGTCTCTTGTGTTTAAGTGGTGTGCATTTTCTGTGTGCGCGCCCAGGGCCGTGTCGCTCGTGTTGCCATTTCCCTTCAGTTTTTGCCTCTGCCCTTAGTGTACCATGTCCTGGCGATTTTACTTTAACTTTTGTGCGATCAATCCCTGGACTCTGTCCACGTACCCAAGAGAGTGATTTGATGTTACTTCCATATTTATTCTGTGGCTCAACGTCTGTGAGTTTCGCTGGTGTCGCGAGCTTTGATTTCTCCTCCCTCTCGAGGGTGTGAGGACATTTCTCGTCGTTTATTAGAGACGATTTCTCTCCCGTTTCCTTTCCAAATTTTCCCTCATTCCACAATCCCTGTCTGTACGCCTGTGTGAGAAGGTATGAGTCCTGTCCTGCCTTCTCTGCAGTTTTTGCATCGTGTTTGCCTTCGTTACTTTTTATCCAGTCAATTAGTTTCCCCCGAGGTGTGTTCGTGTTATCGATACAGCTCCCTTCCCATATGTCTCTCTGACTGTACTGCTTTGTAACAGATTGGTCGGTACGTTTAAATACGACCTCCCCGTATCCCGTAACCCATTCAAATATTATTCTTAATCCTAGCATCTTAGTATGGCAAGAGTTACCTTAATATTTCTTTTCAGAGTGCATATAAACAATTGTATCACAGGATGCGTCAGTTCAACTCGAGCAAATAATCTCAGCCCAGCTGTCTTTGTTATACTCTGCTACTCTGGTACCTCCCTTCAGAGCGCGTTTTGTTTGTATACCCCCGTTTACAATCACAAGGCAACGTTAGTTCACAACACTTTGATTAACACATCAGTGATTCGTTCCTGAATTCATGCATAAACTGTCTGCGAGAGATCCCGGACGAGCCCCCATTATGTTGTATATGTTGGGTTAAGAAAATTTGTTATGTTGTATGCGTGCGTGGGTGAAATTATTATGTTGTATATGTGGGTTATGAATATTCAGTGAAAATAATAATAATTAAATGAAATTTGGCCAAATGTGTAATTATCCGGAAATATGTTAATTTATGTAATTACGCACATTTTAATTATGCCAATTCGAGAGGTAATCGTATTAATTATGCGAGTGGGTGTAATTATGATAATGCAAGTCGTTATGAGAACCAGACCCCGCCTCGGTGACGAGGGTGGGTTATCGATCGGAATAAGGCAATTAATCGTATGCAGTTATGCAGGTGTGGTGTAAGTATGCAAGATTAACTTAGATTAACTCGGCATCGTTGTCTAGGTTCGTCTCATTCTCGCTTTAACATTCCCAGAGTTTTTATTCGTGGTTATATTTTTAGGTCCCCGGTTCACCCCGTTATCGCTTTAACATTTACTGAGTATGTGTTAGTGTGTTTATTAAGGTCACCAAGTTCAAATCTCAACGCAGAAGCAGATCTTATGCATAGATTTCAGGAAAGAATCACACAACCACTTCTGTATTAATCAATTTATTACTAATTCAACCTTAACTATGATATAATATGCGAACTCTCAATCCCGGAACGTCAACACGGCATCAATACAGTATCATCAACGATTGTCTGATTTCACTTTGACAACTGCACATGGATCCCGCATAACGCGATGGTTGTTAGTGAGAGAGAGTCGTTAAAACACGCAAATACTATGCTAAGAAAACCTTAATGTTAATGAATGATTATACTCAATATTGTTCATAACGCGATGGTTGTTAGTGAGAGAGAGAGTCGTTGAAATATGCAAATACTATGCTAAGAAAACCTTAATGTTAATGAATGATTATACTCAATATTGTTCATAACGCGATGGTTGTTAGTGAGAGAGAGAGTCGTTGAAATATGCAAATACTATGCTAAGAAAACCTTAACGCTAATGAATGATTATACTCAATATTGTTCACGCAGTACCACACTCCTTATTGACCATACGCAACCCTTATCACGTTGTTAACACCTTGGGTCACGGGACAGTTGAATATTCTGTAGAGGATGCGAGTACGTGCGGCGATTATGACTGAAAGATACTTGAAAGATTATACGGCGATAAAAAAAACACAATCAAAACAGTTATTATTCTTAAAGGCACCAATCTCAACAGATACATCGGCAGGTTATCTCAGAACGGCTCGGAGTAAGGGCCTGCGACGGTGCTCCTTTTCCGAAGATCGTTATCTTATACCAAGTTTACTAATTGGGGACCAGATCACCTGATAAGGATCCGGTGGGCCACCACTCCCCACGTGAGCGTGGCTCGGCGGAAGGAGGTGCCAAGAATCAGTTCGTATTGATGGATCTGTTGGGAATTTATGCGATTAAGAGTACAGCCCACTAAATATTAAAGATAAAAATTAAGAATACTCTTATAAACGACGGAGGGCCATCCCTCGGTCTCGTTGTGATGCTTTCCAGCCACGGATGGCTCATGGGTTCGAGTGTCTTTGAGTGGTAAGAGTTGTCTTGAATAGTCAGTGTTCGGAGTCGATTCTTTAGGTCAAACAGACGCCTGGTGGTCGTGTGGTGAGGGGGCGGTGCGCGTCATACGTATCAGTCGATCCCGTGGCGAATTGGTTCGGATGGCTGTTGATACGCTGTCGCAGTTCGGAACCCGGTCGGTAGGTGGCGCCCACAACTCGCTCGCAGCGTGCAGCTCTGGGTTGTCGCCGAATCGCGATGCTCACCACTCCGGTGGCAGCAGAGACCCCCGGTTCGGCAGAGGTTAACGAGCTGAAGATGAGTCGAGCCGACCCGCTGGTCGCAGCTCGCTCCTGAGTCGACCCTCCCGGTCGAGCTCGCTCCTGGGTCGACCCGCTGGTCGCCCTCGCTCCTGAGTCGACTCTCTGGTCGCACTCCTGAGTGGACCCACTGGTCGCACTCCTCCTGAGCCGACTCCCCCGGTCGCGCTCCTGAGTGGACCCTCTCGTCACACTCGTTCCTGAGTCGACCCTCCTGGTCGAGCTTCTGAGTGGACCCTCCCGTCGCACTGGTTTCCAATGCTCAGGATCCTTTACTTTATGCCGAAAAATCCCCCTGGATCCCGCCCACAAGGCGGGACTTCTTTCGATTTTTTTTGTGTCAGGATCTGTCCGTAGGCAGGTGTGTCCATGTGTGTGTCCGTACGTCCGTGTGTCCTTGTGTGCATCACTGACGGTATATTCCGTTGTCACACTCCCTCCATAAAACCCACGAGCAAACAATCAGATGTTACAAATTGCCTCGAGGTCGTCTCTCCGTCTGGGCGCAACATTATCTCCTGTCTGGCCTTCCCCATGAACCCAAAACACAGACGTCACAAATGTCTCATAGGCGTCTTTGTTCGTACCACCTGGAGGGAGGGGCAACGCTCTCTCCGACCCGGCGCACAAAGAAATGGCCAAAAGTTCTAAGTTAACATTTGTCCCTTACTATTTCACAGCCATGATTCCGCATGTAACCCAAGGTCTGTCGTTTCCCATCGTGGTGCCCGACCCAAGTGGAGGCGTCTCCCCGAGCGTACACACACTCCCATCCCGCGCTGCGGAGATACAAAGACGGCCGGGATCTCCCTTTCTCTCCGACCCTGGGTTTAACATCGTTTTTTTTTATGTATTTATATTCGACCTGGTGGTGATTCATCCCGTTATCCTGGCTTTTCATAAGTTTTACTTTTGTCTTTTCATGCATATGCTTCGGGTCGAGTTGTATAGAAAGCATTAAAGTATGGAAATAACATTTCATATTGACTTAATGATGGTGATGGTTCAGTAGGCGTACTTGTGACCTGGTTTAATTGGAGTGGGTGTGAATATCAAACTTTAGCCTACCCTGTTGTTAAATTCCGACTTTAACGTTACTTTAATAGCAATACAGAATAATTGAGCTTTTTGTCTTAAGTAGGCGAACGCGAACTTCTGGTGACCCCCGCACTGTCTCTGCCTCCCCCCCCCCTGTGCACACAGCCTTGAGCTGACCCACTTAATTTAATTCTTGGCCTTCTTGGGTTTATCTATGTTTCCTCAGCTGCAGGAGAACAAGGCGTGCTTCTACCTCCCTTTCTGTGTGCACGTGTTCTAATTAGCTCGGAATCCCTAACACACAATCAGTGATGATTCCTGGCTTTCTGTGGTTATGACTTAGACAAAGGCCCTCTGCTTCCTTTCACTGCCTTTGCCTTGAAGCAAGGTTGCAATTCTGTCATCCTAGCCCTCCTCTCGTTCATTACTTAACAACACCTGGTGTTTTGCAGTTTGGTGCGCTTTGGTGTGTTTCACTCATTAAAAAAACAAGTAAAAAGATAATATATAAAAATCATCAAATATTATTAATCTCAATTATGGAAGAAGGGTTAGGATACAACACAGGCACGCGTTGACAACGATGGCGAACAAGCAGAGACTCCCTGACTTTTTGAAGCTGTTAACATCACATTTGTTATCATGTTTACAGCGTATTTTACCCGTTCTTTTTCCATTTAAAACGATAGTCCCATGTAAGCGTTCACATTCTTTTTTGTTTTTTTCGGTGAAGTCACGTAGGTAAAAAGTAAAATAAATATAAATGAAACCAACTAAATTAAATGACGACGTTTCGGAAGCAGCAACACAAGCCTCCGTTTTCAGGTGGTGAATGATTTAATTTCACTGCAGTAAGTAGCAGTTCCACTTGATGACAGAGGCTTGTATTGCTTCCGAAACGTCGTGATTTAATTCAGTTGTTTTCATTTTAATTTATTTTATTTGTCACCGACGCGACTTTACCGAAAACCCCCAAAAAGTATGGATCCTTGCAGTCACGACAACTTAAAATCTACAAGTGTTCACATTCTTTTGAAGCACCCTGCACATTAACGTGAAGCCCTCCGATGGATAATATTTTGTCGCGAAAGCCCACGGTGTGAAACGGATGAAAGTTCGTAAAGTCGAAATGTCACCCCGACCCCGACCGCCGCCCAGCCGACATGTACCACCCGGCGGAGCCCGCGGAGACGGAGCCGGAGTGGGTAGAGACGGAGCGGCAGCAGTTCCGGCGGTTCCGCGACTCTGACGGCGACGGGCGTATGGGGCGCGAGGAGGTGCGCGCCTGGCTGCTGCCCGTCGGCTACGAGCACGCACACGCAGAGGCACGCCACCTCGTGGGAGAGGCCGACGGGGGCGACGAGGTGGGGACCCACGTGACCCCCATGCCCCTCACCCCCCCACGCACCCCCCACGCACCCCCCAAGTCCCCACCCCCCCACGCACCCCCCCACCCCCCCACGCACCCCACCACCCCACACCCACCCCCTCACGCCCCACACTCCCCCACCCTCCCACCCCCCCACGCCCCCCACGCCCCCACCCTCCCACCCTCCCACCCCCCCAGTCCACGGAGGTAGAAAACTTCATAGATGACGACTTCTTCTTGGTTCTTTCGTTAAAGTCACGTAGAAGGAAAATAATAAAAATAAAACATAATAAAATACAATTCTCACGACGTTTCGGCCACAACGCAAGCAGCCGTCCTCAGGTGAAGAACAGGTCTGTCGGAAAGACAGCGTCTGAATGACACTGTTTTTCCTGAATGACGCTGTCTTTCCGACAGACCTGTTCTTCACCTGAGGACGGCTGCTTGCGTTGTGGCCGAAACGTCGTGAGAATTATTTTATTATGTTTTATTTTTATTATTTTATTATTTCCCTTCTACGTGACTTTACCGAAAGAACCAAGAAGATGAATCCCTGCAGTCACGAAAGCTTTACATCGAAAGACGACGACGTTTCGATCACAACGCAAGCAACCGTCGTGATCTGTAGATCTTCTACCCACGTGACTTTACCGAAAGAACGACAGGGCGTGGGTTCCTGCAGTCACGAAAGCCTCACGTCAAGATTGATTGTCGTCGCTGTCGATTCCCGTCTGTGGTTTGCCGGGTGGCAAGGACGGCAAGCTGTCCAAGGAGGAGGTGCTGGCCAAGTGGAGCGTCTTCCTGGGCAGCCAGGCCACCAACTACGGCGACGATCTCAACCGTCGGCACGAGGAGCTCTGAGCTGCAACAGGAAACCCCGCGTTCCGATTGGCCGTTCGCGTCGACTCGACGCAGCCAATGGGAACGCGCCGTGCCGCGTTCCTATTGGCCGATCGCGTCGACTCGACGCAGCCAATGGGAACGCGCCGTGTCGAGTTCCGATTGGCCGATCGCGTCGAATTAGAATGCGCCGTGCTGCACTCCTTGATTGACTGTTGGAGTCGCGTCCAATCCAAACACGCCGCGTTCCGATTGGCCGACGTGTGCCCCCGGTTAGGTTGCTTGCGACTCACCGGCTTGGACCTGCCGAGCGATCGATTTCCCTTTTTGAACGGGAATTGGGGCGGCATTCACTTCCTCGGTGACCCGTAGCCCTGCAGAGGCAGCGGGGGAAGTTCCACGTTCCTATGGCGGGAGGGGAGGGGGGGGACATCCCGGCCCATTGCACAACCAGTTTTGACTTCCGTACAAAGCGGTACTCAATTTTATTGACATGATGATGATGATGATGGGCCTCAATCCACCCCGGGCAGGATTTGAACTCGTGACCCTTGAGGGTGAGAGAAACCGCAGCGTCGCTATGCAATGGTCACGGGATATAAATGTTCGTGTTTTTTTTATCAGAATCGTTGTTTTAGACTTGAAGGAACCCGATGAGCCGTGAAGCTCTTCGTTGTCCCCTGCACGGGGCGTGGTGACGCTGCTGCGACGGTTAAAAGTCAGCGACGCTCTGCGCTCCGTTCCGTTGCTTGAGCTGCGGACGATTCATCGATTTCGTGAAGAAAAGAACACTGGTCAACACATTTTTTCTGGCACAAGGTATTCCAACGGTTCTAAGGTAATTTTGGGGTGCTGATTCCAAATCTGGCATCAGTTTTTGTCTATCACATCAGGTTTTTGAGATATTAAATATTGCATTTTTAATCAAAACTGCAGAATAAAAATGTTAAATAAATGTGGATATCTACGTAAAATGATATTATAAACACACTATCCTAAAAATACAGCACCATATTTTAGCACTAAAGCAGTCACTGACTCGCAACAACTTGCAATCATAAGTGACAGAGTTAATTTCGGGTAAAATCAATGAAAATGGGGTATGCCGATAGCATAAAATGAGATGTGATAGAGAAAATCTGAGATCAGATTTGGAATCAGCACCCTGAAATTAGTCTAAAACAGCTGCAAAAGTCCAGGCCAGAAAAAAATGATTTTTTTGCTGACCAGTGTAATAATAAGCCTTTATGCATGTAGGTTGAACTTATTTCGCACCGCATCGTACGTAGCAAACCCTGCTGCTGCTGCTGCTGCTGATGCTGCTGCCGCTGCTGATGCTGCTGCTGCCGCTGCCGCTGCTGATGCTGCTGCTGCTGCTGATGCTGCTGCTGCCGCTGCTGCTGCCGCTGCCGCCGCTGCCGCCGCTGCCGCCGCTGCTGCTGCTGCTGCTGCCGCTGCTGCTGCTGCTGCTCTATTCAAGACCGCAAGCAACAGGAGGGCTTCAGCAGTCTTGCCCGATGAGGCTGATTGGGATTACCAGCGAAACGTCGCGCGACTCAAACTTTCAAATGCTGTTGATTCTATCTTCAACACACACCGCTGGGGCTAAAGAAGTGAATTGTTTTGTCCTTTGAAAAACGTGACATTTGTTTACTGTTTGGCCGTGTCGGGTGGTGGAGGGTTACGACACATTTATAAATAACGCGATCTGACCCAAAAACCTCTATTGTGAATAATATTGGTGGCGAAAGCCTGCTACGTGTTAAATCAAACTGTGATAATCTGAGGTGCGGGGGTACGACATCAAATATGTCCAAACACCAAATCGACGCCCGCCTGTTATCACAAGGCACCATCGGGTCTGCATTCACCGCCAGAGGTCGCAAACGGGCTTTGATCCCGTACCCGTACCCGGCCGCACCAGGGTCGCAAATGGGTACCCGTACCCGTACCCGTACCCGGCCGTACCCGTACTCTACCCGTACCTGGCCGGGTAGGGTACGGGTATCGGGTACCTGATTGCGACCTCTGGGATGAAGCCATGTTGCAGGCGCGGGTGGGTTGATTCTAGGAACTTGAATTGTGAGAAGAGACAAGACGTTGGGAAATGAGTGACAAACGGTGACTCACCAGTAACTCACAGCCTACCCGTACCCGTACCCGGCCGCACCAGGGTCGCAAACGGGTACCTGGCTACCCATACCCGGCCGGGTACGCGTAGCCGGGTATCGGGTAGGGTACGGGTATCGGGTACCCGGTTGCGACCTCTGTTCACCGCGCACATCGTGCGTTGTGGTAAAACATGCGAGCCAAACTCGCTTTGGTAGCGGTGTGTGCACGCGTGGTCCTTGAAACTGGTTGGTCTGCAGCCTCCCCCAAGGGCTGCCTGTCAACGGCTGTTCCCCTCCTGCCGATCTTCTCCGCTCGTAGCGGCGGCAAGCGGCGGTGAAACGAGTCCGTGACGAAGAAGGCTTCAGCCGGGGGTTGGTGTTAGAGGGCCAATCGGTTTCAAGGACAATGCTGACGCTTCAAATCTTGACCCCATTGGAACCTCCTTTGCCAGTAGCAAAATATGATCATTGTTTTTTTTATCTGGCAACAAAACTGACACCTTTTGTTACAAGAAGTCATGTTTGCATAGACCACAATACCTGCGGTCGGAACGCAAACAAAAAACAGAACTCTGATAATGTATGCACTGTCCTTGAAGTTGATTGGTCCACACCCGAGACAGCTTTTCTTAGAGCCTAGTCTCACATGGTGTTGGACCAGATGACGCCAAATCTTGACTTAAAGCTTTCGCGACTGCTGGAATTAATATTCTTCGGCTCTTTCGGCAAAGTCACGGAGGTAGGTTGAGAGAAAAGCGCTAAAACACGACGACGTTTCGATCGCAACACACATGCAGCCGTCGTTGGGCTTAACTTTGAAGCAGAAACTGCATATTTTGTGAGCGAGTGCGTTTGTGTGGACTTTTGTAATGAAACAAGATCGGCGCATTCTTTACGACACATTTTTGTCTTGTTCAGTTAACAAACTCAATTTGCTTCACTTAAACATTATTTTATACCAACATTCGTGTATTTTTTGCACGGAGATCTGTGGAAAAATTTGTTATTTCTAGATCATCCGAGATTTTTTTATTTATCTGCGGCCGGCCTTCCCCGTCATTTGCGCGGAAAATCCCGACTTCTGCTTCTTGGTGCTTAAACATCTTAACAGCGCTGCTGCATCTTCTTGGTTCTTTCGGTAAAGTCACGTAGAAGGGAAATAATAAAATAATAAAAATAAAACATAATGAAATACAGTTCTCACGACGTTTCGGCCACAACGCAAGCAGCCGTCCTCAGGTGAAGAACAGGTCTGTCGGAAAGACAGCGTCTGAATGAACACCACCAAGTTGGGCAGCGTTTATTTAAGCTGCTGGGTTAGGGGAGGAAGGGCGCCTTGACAAAGGAATTTGAGAATTGTATTTTATTATGTTTTATTTTTATTATTTTATTATTTCCCTGCTACGTGATGACTTTACCGAAAGAACGAAGAGGATGAATCCCTGCAGTCACGAAAGCTTTCACAGCGCTGCTGTAGTATTGCCTAAAAGGGTAAAGCTTCACCGTCATCTCGATCGCGGCAACGTGGGTTCCCGTAGATTAGCGATTTCTGAAACTACGTTTAGTTTTTTGCTTCAGGGGGTGGACCCCCCTCCCAGTGTATAAGCCGCTAACCCCCCACACCCCCCACAGTTTTATCGAATGCACACGCACACACACGCACACACACGCACATGCACACACACGTGCACGCTCTTATTCTCCCGACTGTTGCAGACCTGCGGTTCCGTTGGCAGTTTGCGAAAGAAAATTGAGTGAATTGTCTTTGTGCTGACCGCTGAAAGTCGTTTTAACATTGTAGACATCTTCTTTGTTTGTTCGAGAGGAAACGCTCACGGGCTCGCATGCACAAAACACCGGGGCAAGGGCCGCCGTTCGTAGCGAGTAGCAGCAGCAGCAGCGCCTATGAAGGCTGCCGGCACTGCGGCACACGAGGGGGTGGGTGGGCCAGTAACCACGCCCGGCCGCCTTTGTCTCCCCCCAGTGGCGATGTTTACACACCGCACCAGGTACTCATTTGCGGCCGAGTCGACCTAGGAGAGGCCCAGCACCTGGTTCAGATGTAATCGTCGCTGGCGTTGGACGTGAACGGGAGTCGAACTCGGGCCGCCGGGCTCGTGGTTCAGCGAGATTTACCGCTAAACTAACGCTCCAACAACAGCCGCCATTCGCCACTAAGTGGCGGTGACGTCATCGCGACGCCTGTGCCAGGCTAGGTGCACGTTGAGGCCACGTGAAGTGTCGAACGCCCGCCGGCAGGAGGTCACGGGGCAGACCCAGCAGGTGCCACGGGTCGACTGACTGAGATGACCGAGACGAGTGGCTGATGCACCACCTGTGCCCCCTACTGTGCCAACTTGCTGTGCTTTAGCCACAAACTACCGCTTCCCACACAAACACACGTAGACTCATCATGGGACTTGCAATCAAATCGAGTCGTATGCAAAAATATTGCCACGTGTATTTTTTTAAATGTCTAAATGTCTCCCAATGTGGTGTGTCCGAGTTGTTACCTGCTGCGTGCCTGTTCAGCGCGATGACCTCCGGGAAATGAATTAAGTGGTGGCGGTGACGTCACCGCGGAGCTTGTGCCAGGCTAGGTGCACGTTGAGGCGTCGAGCAATGCACAGCGGTGCACATTCTCAAACGCGTTGCTGCAGCGTTGTGCAGCACGACTGTGATAAACCCACCCAGTGTTATGGTTTGTTGTTCATGTTTTTAAAGGACTTTGTGGTTGAATTAAAATGCTTATGGTATTCTTGATTGTGACGATGTGTGAATGCGTTTCAAATCTGAGCCGTCGTAACGAATCAAATTTTTTAATCCTTTATATTAAGTTCACTTGCTTGCTTGCTTGCGCGCTTACGACCATGCAAATCTTTCGGTCGTTTTTAAACCCACTTCCCCTGATCCAATCGAGCTGACATTTTGCACACAGACTCGTTGTGCGTGACAATTTATTTTCGTGAAATTTTTTTTCCATAACTTTACACTTTTTAGGAATTTTTTATATTTAATTACCAATTGCTTAATGGTGGCAGGCAATCATCTGCCCCATAGGTGGCAGCCATCTCAAGCCAGAGGACGAGAGGACTCTAGCCGCCACGCATATTAAGGATTTATAGTGAAAAACTTTGTTTTTACGGGTTAATTTTTTATTTGACCAGGGAAGGGCCCCGTTGAGTTTCTACTCAGCTCTCTCTTGCAGAAGCGACCGTGGCAATCACGAACGACAGCAGCTCAACGAAGTGGCTCGTCGTCGTCATCATCGTCATGATCATCGTCGTCATCATCATCGTCATCATCATGATCATCGTCATTGTCATCATCATCATCATGATCATCGTCATTGTCATCATCGTCATCATCATCGTCGTCATCATCGTCATGATGATCGTCATCATGTACATCGTCATGTACATCGTCATCATTTACATCTTCATGAATATCGTCATGATAATCATCATCATCATGATCATCATCGTCATCATCGTCGTCATCATCGTCATCATCACGTGGACATCCATAGCAGCAGCAACATATTCTTGAAGCGCGTCGATTTCTTCGCTCTCTCAGTCGGTTGTCGTGGCGGGGGTCGCGTCGCCGGCGTGTTGAGCAGGGCGGTCCACACCTCCCACTGTGTGTGACTACTACTACTCGTGTTGAGCAGGGCGGTCCACACCTCCCACTGTGTGTGACTACTACTACTACTCGTGTTGAGCAGGGCGGTCCACACCTCCCACTTTGTGTGACTACTACTACTCGTGTTGAGCAGGGCGGTCCACACCTCCCACTGTGTGTGACTACTACTACTACTCGTGTTGAGCAGGGCGGTCCACACCTCCCACTTTGTGTGACTACTACTACTACTACACGTGTTGAGCAGGGCGGTCCACACCTCCCACTGTGTGTGACTACTACTACTACTACACGTGTTGAGCAGGGCGGTCCACACCTCCCACTGTGTGTGACTACTACTACTACTCGTGTTGAGCAGGGCGGTCCACACCTCCCACTTTGTGTGACTACTACTACTACTACTCGTGTTGAGCAGGGCGGTCCACACCTCCCACTTTGTGTGACTACTACTACTACTACACGTGTTGAGCAGGGCGGTCCACACCTCCCACTGTGTGTGACTACTACTACTACTACACGTGTTGAGCAGGGCGGTCCACACCTCCCACTTTGTGTGACTACTACTACTACTACTCGTGTTGAGCAGGGCGGTCCACACCTCCCACTTTGTGTGACTACTACTACTCGTGTTGAGCAGGGCGGTCCACACCTCCCACTGTGTGTGACTACTACTACTCGTGTTGAGCAGGGCGGTCCACACCTCCCACTTTGTGTGACTACTACTACTCGTGTTGAGCAGGGCGGTCCACACCTCCCACTGTGTGTGACTACTACTACACGTGTTGAGCAGGGCGGTCCACACCTCCCACTGTGTGTGACTACTACTACTCGTGTTGAGCAGGGCGGTCCACACCTCCCACTTTGTGTGACTACTACTACTACTACTCGTGTTGAGCAGGGCGGTCCACACCTCCCACTGTGTGTGACTACTACTACTACTACTCGTGTTGAGCAGGGCGGTCCACACCTCCCACTGTGTGTGACTACTACTACTACTACACGTGTTGAGCAGGGCGGTCCACACCTCCCACTGTGTGTGACTACTACTACTCGTGTTGAGCAGGGCGGTCCACACCTCCCACTGTGTGTGACTACTACTACTACTACTCGTGTTGAGCAGGGCGGTCCACACCTCCCACTGTGTGTGACTACTACTACTACTACTCGTGTTGAGCAGGGCGGTCCACACCTCCCACTTTGTGTGACTACTACTACTCGTGTTGAGCAGGGCGGTCCACACCTCCCACTTTGTGTGACTACTACTACTACTACTCGTGTTGAGCAGGGCGGTCCACACCTCCCACTGTGTGTGACTACTACTACTACTCGTGTTGAGCAGGGCGGTCCACACCTCCCACTTTGTGTGACTACTACTACTACTACTACTCGTGTTGAGCAGGGCGGTCCACACCTCCCACTGTGTGTGACTACTACTACTACCACTACACGTGTTGAGCAGGGCGGTCCACACCTCCCACTGTGTGTGACTACTACTACTACTACTACTCGTGTTGAGCAGGGCGGTCCACACCTCCCACTTTGTGTGACTACTACTACTACTACTCGTGTTGAGCAGGGCGGTCCACACCTCCCACTTTGTGTGACTACTACTACTCGTGTTGAGCAGGGCGGTCCACACCTCCCACTTTGTGTGACTACTACTACTCGTGTTGAGCAGGGCGGTCCACACCTCCCACTTTGTGTGACTACTACTACTACTACTCGTGTTGAGCAGGGCGGTCCACACCTCCCACTGTGTGTGACTACTACTACTACTACTCGTGTTGAGCAGGGCGGTCCACACCTCCCACTGTGTGTGACTACTACTACTACTCGTGTTGAGCAGGGCGGTCCACACCTCCCACTGTGTGTGACTACTACTACTACTACTCGTGTTGAGCAGGGCGGTCCACACCTCCCACTGTGTGTGACTACTACTACCACTACACGTGTTGAGCAGGGCGGTCCACACCTCCCACTGTGTGTGACTACTACTACTACTACTCGTGTTGAGCAGGGCGGTCCACACCTCCCACTGTGTGTGACTACTACTACACGTGTTGAGCAGGGCGGTCCACACCTCCCACTTTGTGTGACTACTACTACTACTACTCGTGTTGAGCAGGGCGGTCCACACCTCCCACTTTGATAGACTACTACTACACGCTCTCATACTGGTAGGAACCCACTGGTTCCACCAGCCCACGGGGGATTATTGTGTCCGTCCGTCCGTCGTGCAGGGAGGGGCTGGGTGGGGAGGGAGGGGCTGGGTGGGGAGGGGAAGGTGGGGAGGGGCTGGGTGGGGAGGGTGGGGCTGGGTGGGGAGGGGCTGGGTGGGGCTGGGTGGGGAGGGTGGAGAGGGGCTGGGTGGGGAGGGTGGAGAGGGGCTGGGTGGGGCAGGGGTGGGGCTGTGTGGGGATGGGCTGGTCACCCCGTGGTGCCCTTATAAAACTCAACGTTTCACCTACTCACGCCGGCTTGTGCCCGCCCTCACAGTCGGGCATATTTGCGGAATACACCACGCCGCCGTTGACCCTGCAGGCCATTGACTGAGCAACCCAACGTTCCTACCAGCTCCCTCCGCAGGAATGTGTTTTAACTCACTCTGTTGTCGTTGTTGTATCCTCAAATCTTGTAACTAAAATTTAATGCACTGTGGTGGTGGTGGGGGTGGTGGTGGTGGTGGGGGTGGTGGTGGTGGGGGTGGTGGTGGTGGGGGTGGTGGTGGTGAGTGACTTAATGTCACAGATGCAGCCTTTTGGCGTCATCTGGTCCACCGCCACGTGAGACTAGGCTCTAAGGAAAGCTGTCTCGGGTGTGGACCAATCATCTTCTAGGACAGTGCATATCCATTATCAGAGTTATGTTTTTTGTTTGCATTATGACTGCAGGTATTGTGGTCTATGCAAACATGACTCCTCGTAAAAAAAGGTGTCAGTTTTGTTGCCAGATAGAAGGGTAAAAAAACAATTATCATATTTTTTACTGGCAAATGAGGTACCAATTGAGTATTATGTGTGTCTGTTCAAAATGTTTAGCGTACTTCCCGACATGCAACAAACTTGAAATTTGCCATGTGAGTACTTTCCAGACTGTACACCATGCACAAATTATAAAAATAGACTTTTGTGTTTTTTTTTTTTTGGGGGGGGGGGAGAGCTCAATAATGCATTTATTTTTTGCACGGCAAGTGAGCTGTGACGTCACATCTGTCACGTGATCCGCGCACGTGGAAGCGTAACGCATTGTAGTGTAGTGGGTAGCGGCGCTGCGCTACGAACCCGGCGACCCGAGTTCGATTCCCGCTCACGGCCACCACCGGTGACGATTATTTGAACCGGTCCTGGGTCTCCCCTAGGTCGACACGGCCTCAAACGAGTAACTGGTGTGGTGTGTGAACATCGCCACTGGGGAGACAAAGGCAGTCGGGCGTGGTGCTGGCCACCCACCCCCTCGTGTACCGTTCCGGCCGCCATAGGTGCTCGCTAACAGCACTTGCCCCTACAGTCTATATGGGGATCTTTGTCTTTGTGTGTGTATCTGTGCGTGTGTGTCAGTGAATGAGGAGGCTTACCGCAGCCTTCGCTCGAAGGTTCGGAGAGCCGTGAGGCGCTGCAAGGATGGGTGGTGGTCGCGTGTTGCTGGGGAGATGGAGTCTGCCTCAATGGCCCGCGATCACAAATCCCTATTTAAATCCATCAAAAAAGTAACCTGCAGCGCCACACCTATTACCATAATTAGGGGGAAAAACGGTAATCCAATCTCCGACCCCCAGGAACAGGTTTGCAGATTTGCTGAGCATTTTTGTGAGGTCCTGGGGGAGGGGAAATCTCTTGGCATGGAAAACATCATGGCACAAAGTGGGGATGACCCTGCTGAGGCTGCGGTGCCTCAAATATTGGAAGAAGTCACCCCCTGTGAGTGCTGGCTGAGGTGCCATCTGTTGAGGAAGTACTGAAGGCGATCCAGAGTCTGAGACCAGGAAAGGCACCGGGCAGAGATGATCTCCCAAGCGAAATGCTGAGGGAGGGTGGCGTTTGTGCACAGACTGCCCTACATGACATCATAACAACAGTCTGGACCGCTGGAGGGGTACCACAGGATTGGAAGGATGCCCTGGTGGT